AAGAAAAAAAAGAGAAAGTGATAGAGTACATTGGTGCTGAAAGTGATTTTTTGTTTCTATAAATGCTGCCAGAACGGCACAGGCAGTCGCTGTGAAGGTTTCCCCACACTGCCTCGGCCACAATGGCCTGTAAGAGCAGCTCTAAAGGCACAAGGATAGCCGTCAATCTTTGATCTTGTGTTGAGAGGGTGAGCTATTAAAGATTTAGCTAGCTGGATACCGACTCCCCTGACAGGCTGCCAGAATCGTTGCTTAAGGTAACGGCTTTCTATTTGCCAGATCAATGCTGACCAGACGTCAAAAGCTCAGTCTCCTTTCATCAAATCTGCAAGTCATCCGAAAATACTTTATTAATGGGAAAAGATAGTGGTGGGGGGTAAGTCCTGGAATCACATTAACAGTTATGTAAAGAAATGAAAACATTCATTTTGCATTGGCTGGACCCTCGGTCAAGGCTCAGGAGTCCTTATTCTGCATCGCTGCTATTTGGGAACACCGAGGGGGGTCGTAAGTAAATCCCTGAGCCCTCCTCTGCCTACGCATCTGAGCAAAAAAGACAGAAAAAGGTAGGCAAACAATAACGCTAGCTGTAATTGTCCAATATGTCTACAAAATTAGCACTTTAAGTAGTTCCAAATGTTGTTTTCTCCTTGCTTGAAGGAGAGAGAGAAGAAGAACGTGTCACTGGCATTGAAGAGGGCAAGAACGGGCCTATAGATCATTTCACCTTAACAGTCATGGAGAAACTATTATAACGCCTATTCAAATGGAAAAGACAAAAACAAGGTCCCTGTAGTCCTGATTGTTCTGTTGTATGTCACCCCAAAGTTGGTCTCCATCTTGCAGCACTAAATCCTTCTGCGCACAAACGTACGAGGTGCGAGACCATCTTCTATATATCCGCAACTCTACCACCACTGCAGAAATGCTTTTTTTTCCTGTAAAAATATGTCTCCATAAAAACCACATATGCAAAATAAAATCTTTTGCCACAGTCATTTTCAGAGACACGGTAATTTGGAAAATGTGCACCAATTGCTCTAATAATTATTGATGCTCTTAAGCTTCTCGCTCTGTTGCAATGGAATTTACTTGGTCCAAAAAGCATCAGTTCTGCAGGGCTTCTTTTACTTTCTGTGCTGTTATCTTTTATGACAGTCAATCATAAAATCAAATGTGTTCCCTCAAAACAACTTTCATCCCTGCTTTTTAAAACCAGTGTTCATATTCTTTACACATATTTTTCCATGTTAGTGGGAAAATCTTTCGGTAAAAACATAAAGAAGACCGTGTCCTGCCTTGTAGTTCGTGTACGTCGCAAATGAAGCTGCCGAAGACGTGCAAAAAGATTTTCAAAGCATCCATTTGGACTTACTCATGAAAATACTTAACTTTTTCATAAAAAAGAAAAATTCCAGTAAGTCTGAAGATTACCAGAACCAGAAGTTAATGATCTTCTAGACAGAGCTTCTGGTTTCTCAAGCGTGATCCTTGGAATTTTTGAAAGGCCCTCTCTCCAGGCTAAGTTAATTAAATAAAGCGGTACTAGAACACCCTGTCACCATTACTGTTCTCATCTTCTCCAACCAGAAGGCAACAACTCCCACAGAGTCCCTGTGCATGTACTGTACAGCAATGCTTTACCCACTGTTTGAAAATAGCCCGCAGTGCAAAGGAGCATATATCTAGAACCCTTATTTTGTAACCATGCCTCATCTGTGTTACAAAGAAAAAAAAAAAAGTACCTATCTATCTATATGCATATATATTTTTATACAGGAAAAATATACACATGTTTGTTTTATTCCTCTCTTAAGATTAATCTTCTTAATAGATTCAGTATTTCTATCTAGCAGCTCTCTTAAACGACAGTCAGGTTGCACTCTCATTCTGTCTCCTGTGCCACTTCTACTGCTCTGCCATCGTCTCCGGTTTTATCAGTGACAGTAATAACTTTGCCTTATAAGACAAATTAATTATTTCTACACAGATTTCGTTAATGGCCAGTGTTTCCACAGGCTCAGAGTCCATGAACACATAAACCTTTGCAGGCCAAAACCTATTTCTCTCTTTCATACATCACTTACCGTCCCAAGATGATGCACCTCTAACATCACTTCTGC